ATTCTCCTTCTTGATTAGGACTTGATTAACATTTTCCACTGAAGACTTTTCCTCACGGTTTAAGTCTTCAGTCATTGAATCTCTGTACCAGTTTGCCTATTGGACAAATTTTAAAAGTGCATAGCTTACCCAACTTCTCTTGCATGGATTTGTTGCTGTTTGGCAATAGCACAGGGCTGATTCCCTTAAGCCTCAAAAGCACTGAAAGAATTTATCTCCATTAAGAAACAGAATTAAAAGTGGTGGTTCAAGGGGTTTTCTAGAGTAGCCTTTGTACTGCATGCTTGCTTTCTACAACAGAACAGACAGCACTCTCACTCACTGTCTGGTTATTAAATATTCTAAGATAAATGGTGATTACTTTGCCTTCAAAGACTATTTTGTTTGTGTCAGTGGATGGTCATTATCTAGTAACCTGCGTGTTCCTTTGGAGAAGAAATGTGTCCTTTCCAGGTAGTTACTAATAAATACCGGAAATGCCTTTCACAATAACCGAGAATGCTGTCATTGGTTTACTTTCAGGGTGGGTCTAGCACACTAATCAACTCGGCTACTGACTTTCTTCAATTTTTTTTTCATTCTTATTGTTCATGTAGTGTGGTAAGTCTACTTTTCAAACCTGCCAAAATGTAGCAGGAATCAGCATATTAGAGAGTCCAATTTCTATTTTATAAAGGCAGAATCTCGTAGAAAGATTGCTACATTCTCAGATGAAATTCAACTTTTTAGCAAGAGCCAGTTTCTTGCAGTTGTTGTAGTTGATGTGCAGCTGTGTGAATTCCAATCCTGAACAGACTTTTCAGTTATGCGGCATAACGCTTCACCCGCAGGTTTGTCAGTTTGAAAATTTTCTAATAAGTGTCACAACTTCATTGTCTAGCACTTAGCTTTTTTTATATCCTAATCTTTATTCTCCATGAATTATCCTTTGTAAAGCTCACAGATCTGCTGAAATCGAAATGATATAGAAAATAGGACTTTAAAGTTCATTCGTTAATTACTCTGCAGGGATTTGTTTCACAGTGTCCACAATGAGTTCTCAACCTTTTCAAATGTTGTAAAATGAGGTGAGCCATCAAGTTCCAAGTGAGACCTAATTATCCATGGATCGGAAATGTCATAAAATGTAATATAAGACTGCAAGATGAAGTAACATTGTGTGACTGAATCAACTACGAGCGGAAATTTAAAACAACAACATTTTGTATGGCAGTAATTTACACATGCCGCTCATGTAGAATCAGAACTAGCCATGAGGCAACTGTTGTTGTGATTTGGCGCAATATAAATAAGGTTGAATTATTCCATCTTTCATGGCAACACATCTTTTCTGAAGACAACAACTGAAGAAGTTATTAAATTAGATCTAAATGTTTTTGAAAGATTTGACAATTGCTTATACAGGGAAAGTTTTATACAGAGGATTATATGTTTTACCCAAGATTCTAAACCAGATTTATAAACCAAGTTACAACTATCCACAGACAAAGGCTCAGGCAGGCGCATATTCTTAATGATTATTATCCTGCGGAAAGCTGGACAATAGTTCCGAGTTATCACTATTCCAATGTGTCGGAAGCCTATTGTGGCAGTCAATAACCAGAGCTATCTGTGGTTGGCAAGCTGCAGTATAGCAACTCATCAATACAAATTCCTCTCAGCCTGCACCGCATGTCCACACATCCATTGACTGCAGTGAGTTCCAGTGATTTAAAGACTCTGTGCCATAGATGTGTTAGGAGATTCAGTGTTTCATGTGCTCATTGCTTCACAAGTAATAAATCATTTGTCGCCACGGCCCTTTGCAGGGTGACAAAGTCAATATCAGTTTATTCAGGGAGCAAGACCAGGGACCACTCATTCAAGCATGTGTCCTCATTCTGTACAGGTACTTTTACAAATGTATAACAACCGCAAATGTATATCAGTCACATTTCTTCGAGATTAAAGGACATGAATAAAATAACTTAACAACTTTAAATAGCTTGGATCAAATGGCAACAGTTCTTCTTTGTAATACAGAAATAATTTGATGCACATTTTACATGCATCAATGTAATACATGTATTAAATGTACAAAATAAAAATCTCCAACATCTGCGCCAGTTTTAGTGTGAAGCAGTCCTTTAGTAATACAACAGTTTGCTGTTTTTAAATAAGCAGTTTAATAGCAGCATGCTAAGTCAGGACCTGCCAGTAGAGTTGATAAGTGATCCTGTGTGTGATTATGCAAAGTTTGTTATTTCTTAATAAGTTTGGAATTAACAGACTTTGCCTTCCACATCTGCTCTAGTGCTTTCTTAGCCCCTGGTACTTTTCTGTTTTCTTGTTCTCCTTCTTTGTGATGTTACTGCGCACTGAGATTGTCACATCTATCATATTCTGCTCCTTGTCAACCACCGCTATGTCTGCTTGATTGGCCAGCAGCTGCTTGTCTGTCTGGAATTTGAAGTCCACAGGACTTTGGTGGTGTCTCCCATTGGGTCTTAGTGACTTTTAGTCCATATGCTGCCCAGATGTTACTGTACACTATTGAAGCCACTTGGTTGTGCCTTTCAGGGTATGCTTCACCTGCTCCAATCTTACATCCTGCTACTATGTGTTGAATAGATGTTCTTCCAGTACTGCTTAGTTTTAGCTCATGACACTCTAGTGTGCAGGTTAACCACTTTGCTGACTCTGGATTTGAGCCTTCTTCTCCATGGGGGGGAGATGTATCCTTATTCTTATACCCAAGTGCTCCAAGGATTGCTTTGCAGTGCCATATATGAGGCTTGTTTCTGTGATTCTATATACCTCCTGCAGAGGCATGTGTACTGAAGGGATTCCCCATGATGGTGGAACTATTTTTCTGCTCATATAGGACAGAAGAGAAGAGGAAGGTGAAAAACATCCTACATTTGATGCATGTGCATAGAGGAAGTTAACTCTAAATGCAAGGATGTGATGACACTAGTCAGAAGACTTAGAGCGCTGTCACTTCTCTGATCACCTATAATCTTTAAAACATAGAAGTCATGGTTTAACCCAAATGACTTCTTAAAAAGGTCAGTTCTAAAATGCAGTTTCAAGCCAGTTGAAGGTTCATTACAGTTTTATTTGCCTACAATATTAGATGTTACATCCACAAAAATGTGAAGTAAATTGAAATCGACACAATCGACAGGCCTGTGTAATAAAATAATATGCTTCTGATTCTTCCATGCTGAGATTAAACAAACTGTCTGGTCACACTTGTAATGGCAGGGGTGCCTTGTTAAAATGCACTCCATCAAAGTTTCCTTTGAAGCTGTCACTGACAGAAAACATAATGTGAATTTCACTTGGCAGCTGCTTGGGAAACACTGAATGAGTCGGGGTGAAGTCAGGTCTTTCATAGCTCTTTTGTAAATTCACCGCAGTGTAGAGGGTGGTTCCATTAAGAGGTTGTTCAAGCCTGTGTAGAAAAATGTATTGTGGGTCTTTCTTATTAATTTCTTGAAGTATATCTACCAAACTAAAGAATTTAATTTCATTCTTCAAACATGAAGAAATTCTGATGTCATCTGCATGGAAATTGAAATTAAACCTGCAGTATTGTCTCATTTTCCTAACCATAACAGTGTGTGTGTGTGTGTGTGTGTGTGTGTGTGTGTGTGTGTGTGTGTAGCCACTCGCCCAACTTGATGATCTCTGCACTGAGTGCTAAGGCAGCAGTATGTTCACAACTGTGAAATCTTCACAATGGGAGAAAAAATATCTTAAAATACATAAACATAAGAAGCGAGATGTAATAACTATCACTTGTGTTGATCAATACGGAAAAAACTGGCAAACGAACAATGCAAAACATTTTGCCAGCATGTACACCCTTAAAAAGAAGTGTGGGGTCAGAAGCATGAATCAGCTGGCCATTACATTCTACTTGTACAACTACTAAGCAACAGTGGCAGAAAAGTTAATATTACTTCTGTTGAGTATTCATAACTCCATTAATTTCTCAAAAAACACAACATTGTCTCCTGTGAACAAGTCGTGCTTTAGGGGAATATTTTATTCACTGACGCTATAGTCAGATGGTGGAATGACTTCATTAAGTATGCAACAGTTATTTTACAAAACAAATAAATAAAAATACTAACTCTGAGGGGGCCAGATAGGAACGTTTTATATAGTATATAATATTCAATTCAATTTTATTTATACAACGCCAAATCACAACGACAGTCACCTGAAGGGCGACCCTACAATAATACATACAGAGACAAATCCAGCAATCACATGACCCCCTATGAGCAAGCACTATGGCAACAGTGGGAAGGAAAAACTCCCTTTTAACAGGAAGAAACCTCCGGCAGACACCGTTCCACTTTTGACTGTAGGTTTTTCCTTCAGCTGGCCCATTTTGTTCTCATGAGCTAAATTGTTTTTTTTTAACTTTTATAGGTGTAGTTGTGTTCAAGCAGTGCATACAGGTCAAAACTAACATAAAGTAAATCTTGAGGGACTATTTTAGTGTGACTGATCTTAATCGCTTTATCATATTTCATCAGAGATTAATAATGAATCAGATTCCCACCTGGGTTCTGACCCCCAGTCTGCTCCTACACATGTTGTGTAAGTGAAAAGACACATATGCCTTCATCTCAGCAGCAATTAGTTCGTTTGAAAATCCTGTCATTTTAAAGGTAGTTAAGACAACACAAATTTACTGGCAATTTAAAACTTGGTGTTCAAAGTTATTAATTTAGTAATGATTCTGTAATGATATCCTCATACTGTTACTTGTGCAGTTTTACAAACAAGGCTCAGTGCTTACACACACACACTGCACATGGGAATAGAAATCTAAGTGTTTGCATTCTGTGGCACAGATGTTATGGGATCTGTCTACCTGCCCCATTTGGGATTAGTGTTAATGTGGTAGCTTCACACAGTTTAAGCAGCTCTAGGAAAGTGTTCTTAATAGTAATGTGTAATTGCCAATTTTAGTCATTTAAAACCATGTGTTCGTCCCACAGTGCCCCCCAGGACTAAGTCCTATGAAGGATGGCACCGGGTGCTATGACCACCACATCGGCATCGACTGCTCCGACGGTTTCAATGGAGGATGTGAGCAGCTGTGTCTCCAGCAGTTGGCCCCTCTAGAGGATGACCCGACACTCTACAACATCCAGATGTTCTGTGGGTAAGAAACAACACATTCTGTGCTTTTTATTTTTAATTATTATAGCAATATATTTCACAATTCTGTCATGTTAGGTTTGTCACATTTTACATGGTCTATGGTCAGTCAATAACAAAAACAAAATAAATCCCTTTGGTATGCTGCCATCGCTATATATACAGAGAGAGCGACAGAAAGAGAAGAAAAGTTCCCAGATTCAGGTGATATATATAGTTTTTGCTTTTAAATGAAAACAGATGTGTATTCATAGCATTTAGTGCAAAATGAGCCAGTAAAAAACGTAAAGCAGTATGGTGGTGGCACTTTAAGATTCCTGCTTGTGGAGTCTTAAATATACCACCATTAACATTTATTAAAGCAAACTTTGACGTGAGTGTTGAATTAAAAATACCAAAACTAGAAAAAAGGGCTTTAATGAGTTCCATTATGACCCCTGGGGCCTGATTTATAAAAGTGTTTATCTCTGAAATTAGTTTTAAGATAATACCTAACAGTGCGCTCATTTCTGGAAGATATGGTGCATGAAAGTAAGTAAAGCAATTTATGCACCTGTGATTTATATCTGTCAAATCAACTGAAATTTAAAGAAATCTGCCTTGCTGCTTTTCCTTATGTAATGCCAACACAAATGGGGCTTTACTCAGGAATAACCTTGGACCATGGACCGAATGAGAAAAGCAAACCTTTTGGGACATAAGAGCAGGTGATTTAAGCCCGGTGACACATATCACACAGTGGACTGTATAGTGGGTCACAAGGCTGGGCAAGAAATAATGTAAAGCGTGTGTGTGTGTGTGTGTGTGTGTGTGTGTGTGTGTGTGTGT